ATATGGCGGCGGTGTGGATAATGGGTCCAACGAGAATCTAATTCCGCACCGTTTCCTGGATGTTATTTTATTAAAAACAGAAAACCTCCGGCTGATAAGAGTTTCTGACAAAGGACATTCGGTGCTAATGAAAATCCCTTGGCTGTTATCTCTTTCTTGAAAATTCTGACTAAAACAACTCCGAGGTGAGGGAAGAATCATTCATCTGTTCAGCAAAAGCCTCTCCAGGCATTTCCACTGAGTGAGGATGGACTGGCCTCTAGTGGGAACAGCGCAGAAGGAAGAATCAGGTGCTCCTTGTAGCAGAATTACACAAGTAATTTTTACGCAGGTGTAGCCCTGCCACCCCAGGTACTCCTCGACATACAACAGCAGTGTTGTGGCCCACCAGTGGAGCTGCCAGCAGATTCTCTCCAAAAGACTCCTGGCCAAGTTCTGCAGATGTCGGCCTGGCAGCTCTCCAAGCCAGCTAAGGTCTGTGACCGTAAATCCTCCCTGGAAAGACTTTGCTGGAGGTGAAGGAGCAGAATTCACAGTCATTGAATAGAAGGGGGTTTTGTGTGGCTCAGGAGTCTCCTTCAGGCTCTCGGGAAGCCTCGCTCAGAACAAGTTCGTCTCCGTTCAAAGTTACAATGGCACTGAAAAGCCATTTGTGGCCATTTTCATACTGCAGCCTCCCTGTGGTCACGTGATCGAAACTCAGACACTTGGCAACAGACTCAAATTTACGATGGTCGCAACGTCCCGGATTAATGTGTGCTGGCTGTTTGGCAGAACCTCAGTAAAACTCACCTTTCCGTCGGAGGCCGTGTTGATGCGGTAGTGGTAGACTCTCCCCTCGTATCTCAAGGAAATGGACCTCTGGCCAGGGCTGCTCTCGCTTTCCCGGACCAAGAAGCTGCCGTTTATCCCGCTGCTCAGCAGGTACTCCGCCGCGTTGCGTGACACCGGCCCATGGTACCACGAATGCTTCTCCAAGCTGTTGACGGGGGTGATGTAGTTGCTGGGCACCCAGCCTTGTCCGTTCTTCGTCTGGGCTTCGCACCATTCCCCGTTGTGGTTGTAACCCAGGACACGAAGCTTTTCCCCTATTGGGGGGTAAGGAGGAAAAGAAAGAAACAGTCACAAGTCTGAGAATTGTCGGAGGCGACTCAGAGAGTTCATAAGGGAGCGATTGAAACACGGCGAAACGGCCAAAGGAAGGAATAGTCGCAGCTCAGGGTTGAACTGCGGAGTCCTTGGGGTTTACTGAACTTCCAGGCATACGGCCACAGGACGGTCACAGTGGGCGGCCCCTCCCAGAGGGAATAAAAGGGGAGTGAAAGGGGAGTGGAGTTTGCAGGAGGCAATTAGTTCCTTTTAATAATAGTTCGACTCTCGAGACTCCTTGCCAAGTTCTGCAGATTTTATGCTTGCCAGCTCTCCAAGCCAGATAAGGTCTGTGACTGTAAATCCTCCCTTGAAAGACTTTGCTGGAGGCGAATGAGCAGAATTCACATCAATTAAGAAAAGGGGTTTTTGTCAGGACCAGGAGTTGGCTTCAGGCTCTCGGGAAACCTCGGTCAGAACAACTCTTAAAATTTCTGAGGGAGCTAAAAAAAAGCGGGGAAATCCGAACTCTACAACAGATAAATTAACTCCTGCCAAGGTTAAATTCCTTTCCCCTGAAATGCCAACCTCTTCTCATCCTCCCCGTTCGGGTTCTCCGTTTTGAGGACTTACCTTTAGTGATGCTGAGAGTGTTGTCACCGCTGGCGACGAAGTCGTACAAGGCCACAAAAAGATTGGGATCATTTTCACCCGGAGCAGAAAGGAGATTTTCTTTGGAATTCCAGCGGGCAGCTTCGTTCAGGCTCTGCGGCTCGAATTCTGAGGCCACAGGCCGTTGCAGCGCTTCTGGTGGGAAGGAAAGTTTGGAGGAGGAAGAAAGAGAGAGAAAGAGAGAGAGNGCCAAATATCAAGTTTGTAGGCTTTACAATTCTGGAGATTTTGTGATAGCGCATGAGTGGCATTTTGCTTATATATCTATATATCTATCTCTATATACCTCTATATTATATTATATTATATTATTATATTATATTATATTAATTATATTAATTATATTATATTATTATATTATATTATTATATTATATTATATTATATTTATTATATTTATTATATATATATATATATATATATATAGAGAGAGAGAGAGAGAGAGAGAGCGAGAGAGAGAGAGAGAGAGAGAGAGAGAGAGAGATTTTATATAGATATAGATATAGATAGATGATAGATAGATAAGATTCATTAGTTCATTAAATTCCTCTCTAATTTATTGCTCAAATTATCTATATAATGAGAGGCAAAAAAAAGGCGGCATTTAATTACTCCCGTTGAGAGCTCTGGCTGAGACTAAGAGAGCTGTAGTCATCATGTCTGGAGGGGTGTCAGATTAGGGGAAGGCTTAGATGGTATAGGCATATAGAAGGTATCCATAGAAGATGCTACTCCTAGGTTCCCAATATGGATTTTTTAAAAGAAAAAAAGTTTGAACTGTGGCAGGGTCCATAAATCATGATGATTAGTCTGATTTAGACCTAACAAGTTGTATAAACACAGACATTTGGATTTATTCAGTAAAACACGATTCAATAAACCATGCTAATGTGATACACAAAGTAAACATTTATCTATTGGCCGTACACTGAGCTCATTTATATGATGGCCCTTTTCCTTCACAGTGACGTTTTGAATTAAAACAATAAATATTTATCCAGTTGCCTTTATCAGTACTGCACCTTTAAAACCAGATCCTCTGCAGATTTACTCTCATTAAGAGCCACTACATTCCCAGAGAAGGGAAGTTTTTACAGGAAACCAAACACCTCTTCCTTCATAAGAGCCAGGGTGGTGCAATGATTAGAGTGCAGTACGGCAGGCTACTTCTGCTGACTGCCAGCTACCAGCAATTCAGCTGTTCGATTCTTACTGGCTCAATGTTGACTCAGCCTTCCATCCTTCCATGGCTGGTAAAATGAGGACCCAGATTGTTGGGGCAACGTGCTGATTCTGTAAACCGCTTAGAGAGGACTGTAGAGTACTGTGAAGCGGTGTATAAGCCTAAGTGCTAAGTGCTATAATGCACATAAGGTAGAACCAAGGTCCGGCACTCAAGGTTTCCCAGCAGCTTCACTCACCAATCGGAGCATCCTCCACCGATTTGTCGCTGTCGCTGTCGGAGCTGGAACTGGGGCGTGGGCTCCTCACCCGCTTACGCTGCCGCTGGGATCCCATGATCGGGAGCTGAGGCGGCCCCACGGGGCTGTTCCCGTGACCTGCAGCCAGCTGACTGTCACGATTCTTGGGGGGGCGCCCAGGACGCTTTGGGGGCACGGCGGTTTTGGGATTCTTCTTGGAGAAGAGCACCGATGTTCTCCTGCCGACTTCGTGTGCTGGGGTGGAGGAGGAATTGGGGCCAAGGCCTGGAATGAGGTGGAGGCTTTGGTTTAGAGGAACAACTTGAGCACTCTGGGGCCAGGAGCCTTCTTCCAGAGACAAGGGCAGGTGGTCCTTGGTTAACCGTAGCAATTGAGATCATTATTATTGTTGTGAAGTGAATCAACAAGGGTCATTAAGCAGGAACATCACATGGTCACCATTTACAACCACCTGCCGGCTTTCCCACTGGTCTGGCTTGTTGGAAGGCAGGGAAAAAAGTTGCAAATGATAACCACTTGACTGTGAGATGCTGCTATAACCAGAACTCTCAGGACTGGTCGTAAGTACCACTCATTCAGTGCCACCACAAGTGCAAATGGTCACTGAATGAGTAGTCATTAACCAAGGACACTGTAAGTTGAACAGCTGATTTTTAAGAGGGTGTTCAACCTTTCCGCTAAGGCGCACCGGCCAGCTGGTCTTCAGGTTTCCGGCTTTCTGGTGCTCCAGTGTGCTTAAAGATCAGCTGGCCGGGGCGCATGTGCGTGCTGGAAACCAAAAGAGCAGCTGGCAACGGCGCATGTGCCCACAGAGAGGGCTCTGTGTGCCACCTCTGGCACGCATGTCATAGGTTCACCATCACAGCTCTAGATCCATCAAGTGCCTTCTTAACAACACTGTGATATAATTAATAGACTTGATCTGGGGAAATCTCCATTCAGCTGTGATGCACCTTGCGTAACATTAGACTAAACATCATCTTTCAGATGATAGGACTGGGCTATGGACAAATCACTTCATGCTGCTTGGGTTTTCTTAAAGGACAAGCAAAGAGCCGAGAGACAGAATTGGAAGACCTCTGGAAGATGCCATTCTAACATCAGACAAGCATGGCTGACCAGCTTCTGCTAAAGTAGCTTGCAGAAGGAAAACGTTCTGCAATTGCTGAGGCGGACTTTTCCAAGCGTAGGTGCAGTGGCCTTGCCCTAACCTAGGAATATTGTCCCATCTTCTGGAAGTGGCACAAAGCCTTCTCTGCATCCAGGAAACAACATGTTTTAAACCGTTTTTTTCCCCCCATTATATGTTCGTTATGTGTCTTTTTTTCTCTTTTTTGTAAGCCGCCCGGAGTCCTTTGGGATTGGGTGGCATATAAATTTTATAAATAAAATAAATAATAAATGATAGGCTTTTTTTGTGAAAACAAGGTTACTGATTCCAAAAGGTTATCTTTCAAAAATTAGGCAAGCTTTAGTGACAGCTATCTTCCCGTGTGTAACTCAGCAGAGTAATAAGGGCTGGATGAGAGGAGCTTCTGTATACGTTCAGGAAGATGGGCCCCAGGGACAGTGAAAAGCTAAGGAAAAAGGCAGGAGAAATACTGATTCCTCTGAAGAAAAAGGGATCTCGGCATCTTCTAACCCTTCCATTTCATTGTTATCTGGGGAACGACGGGAAATGTAGTTCAACGCGTTTAAGGAAGAGAGAATCTGTAGCTCAGGGATGAACTGTGAAGTTCTTGGAGCTCTCTGATTTTGATCGTTTGCTTGCAGACATTTCACTACCCGGCCAGCTAACAGTGTCAATACGCTGATGACGTTACGCAGTTGGGTAACAAAATGCCTGGAGGGGAACGACCAAGCTCAGGGAGCTCCAAGGATTTTCACGTATGAAAGATGCCACGTTGGAGGAAACCCAGCTAGGCTAATTCCCCATGGAGATTCTCAG